GCCGTTCTGAGCACCAGCCTGGTTCTCATCTTCCTTTAGGTTATGGCAAAACCCCAAGGGCAGCAGGAGGGCTGAGAAAATCCTGAAAGGTAACAGGACGGACGACTTTTTGCAAAAGCCAATGCTGAGAACAAAAATCAAATCAGGTGTTTGACTGAACTGACAGTTCAACTCATTCCCTGCTGAGGCTCTTTTTAGAAACAGCCTCAAGCCCCTGAGAGCCTCTGACCTTCCAGTGGTGAATACTGAGCTTTGATTTTCAGCTAAGCCACTGCCTATAACACTCAGCAATAGCACTGACTTTATGCAAAATCAAGTTATTGGCAGAGAAGACGTGAAGCAGGAAGGGAGAGAATTCACGGTGGAAAGCTAACATATTGCAAGTCCATTCACCTATGTAAATGTATTTACAATATACCACATGGTCAACCCCACTTCTGAGCCAGGCTAGCAGACAATTTGAATTGAGTGGGCAGAACCTGGCTTTGCTGGCTGGGACCACTTCTCCCCATCACTGGTCATCCTTCTCTCCCTCCAAGGTGACCTGTGGGTCATGACTACTCAAGTGCTCAAACTCCAGTTTGGACACCCTAAGTCACTGCCTGAATCCAGCTGCCCAGAGAGGAGACTTAATGCAAGTTACTTCTTAACCTGAGAATTTCCAAGGAATACATCACTTGTTCCTATCAGGTGAAACTAGCACTGGCCTTCCTGGATGTGCTGCCCACAAGTACCAGACAAGTGCTGAAGTATCAAGATCGTTCACTGGGTTCTCCTAATGATTAAAATGATTTCCCTATTTTTCAGGCTACTTGAAGAGCTGGAAGAGATGCCAGTGAAATGCACTTGCCATCTTCCTTACAGCATAAGCGATTCATTCCTCTATCCTACGTTATCATGCAAGTTTTCTAACTGCTTGGAAAGCTTAAGGTGTAGTTTATTACTAATCACTGGCATTTTCATTTAAATTCCAACACTTTGATTTTCTCAGGTTATCATATCTTTTGTAACTTTCAAATGTTCACCAGCACTGTCCAGCTCAGATGTATACAGGACACTGGCAAAATGACAGCCCATGAGGTCAAGGGCACAACATGTTGGCCAGTGGACCCAATGACAAGTGCAAGGGTACTGCAGCCTCCCTGTGCACACGTGGGCAGTCACTGACCCGAGCGAGCTCCGAACGATGACGCCTGCTTTATGGCAGCTTTTATTTTTTTCCATAATTATCTGACATAATTTTTAATGGGTTGAATCTGCAAACTAGACGACCTACCCCCACATGTTAGAGAGCTGGCTATGATAGTAAAAACACTTCATTTCTCTCTGAGCCTCAGTTTCCCCTATATGATATGTGAGGTGGATGCTCTGAGACACTGCAAATGAGCTCAAGGTCCTGGGGTTTTAGACCACAATCCTATTTTATCTCCATGCAAGTGGAGCTCAGGAACTCTGAGAGGATGCCAAAACTGAGATGCCAAAAATTCTTGTCTCCTCCTAACGGTTCCTTTGTTCTGCAACAATGATGGCACCATAATTATGTTGTGAATGGTGCCTAGGCGGTCCACACATTTGGCAAATTGCATGTGTCGTGGCCAGGTTAAAACAACAACAACAAAGAAACTAACAGTGTCTGGTGGTGGAATCAAGCAGATTCTGAGAGGGCAGCCAAGTTCTATGGCCCAGCTTGGGAAGGGATGGGAGACAGGGCCCAGTCAGAGAAGGTCCTGCCGGGGCAGGGGAACATGGGGGAAAGCAGGGCAGCAGAGCTTATGTCCTGGGGGACAATAAGAGCACACAGCCACCAAGCACCAATATGTGCCAGGGACTCTTCTTTTACCTTATATTGCTTAACTCATTTCATCCTCAAAATGACCCTATGAAGTAGGTCATTTTTGTCCCATTTTAGAGATGAGCAAACTGAGGCCCAGAGAAGTTCAGTATATGAGCCAAGTATCTCAGCTAGTAAGTGAAAGACCTGGACAGCCTGGTTCCAGACCCCATGCTGCAGTGAACTCATCTATGCATGTCCAGAAAGTTAGATCCAGGAGTCAAAACACGTGAACAAACATGTTTGAGGACCTACCATAAGCTAGGTGCAGTTTTAAGCCCTGGAGGCCATCTTTACCTCTGTTCCTAACATAACCTGCAACAAAGCAGGTGCCCAATAAATGTTCACTGCTTTGAAGGCTAAATTATACGTAGTATAGCTATTTCTGCTGGGTTGAATAGTGCCTCACTCCCCAAATTTCATGTCTATCTAGAACCTATGAATGTGACCTTATTTGGAAATAGGGTCTTTGCAGATGTAATCAAGTTGAGATGAGGTCATATTGGATTAGGATGGGTCTTAAATCCAATGACTGGTGTCCTTCTAAGAGAGCAGTTTAGACAGGCACATGCAGGGAGAATACCACGTAACAGCGGAAGCAGAGAATGGAGTGCTGTGTCTATAAACCAAGGCAGGCCAAGGACTGCCAGCAACCCCTGGAAGACAGAAGAGAGGGGCATGAACAGATTCACCCTCAAAGCTTCCAGAAGAAACCAACCCTGCCGACACCCGATTTAGGACTTCTAGACTTTGGAATTGTGAAGGGATAAATTTGTGTAGCTTTAAGCCACCCAGTTTGCAGTAATTTGTCCTGTCAGTCCTAGGAAACCAATATGCTAATTTTTTAAAAAGACAAAAGATACGTTCTCAAGTCACCCTGTTTGGCAGTACGAGAGTTCTGGTCTGAAGGTCATGATTCCCCACTGGCCCTGAGTAGGCAGGGGAGAAGCCAGGGAAAGATTAATCCCTGGCCTCACAGGAAGCCCGCCTTCCTGTCAACAAAGCCCCGTGAAAAGCCTCGGGCCAGAGGGCTGTCTGCCGGCCCATCACAAGGCTCACATGGAGAAAATATTTTCATTCATGGGAGAAAAAATAGGAGAGCCCACCAAGCTGTGTTTGCATCAGGCCCCTGAGGGGCCCCTTCTGCTCACGACAAGAGCTTGCAGGTAAGAAGACCTCCAAGGAAGAACGTCAGGGCTTCCCAAAAGTCAGTTTAAGTAATGGGCTTCCTATTTCCCCACTAACCCACTCAGAACTAAAAGCAGAAATTCCTAAGCATTTGGCAACCCATTTCCCTTTGAAGATCTGGTAAATGGTATAGATTCTAACTTTTTCTCCAGTAAAAATTCCTATGTGGAAAATTTGGGGGGGGGCACATTTTGAGGCATCATGGATTCCTAAAGCCCATTTATTGATAGACAAAGATTTATGAATTGTCTATTATGTGCAAGCATGTGCTATAGGCTAGGAAGATAAAGGGGGAAGAATAGATAAGGCATGTCTCTTCCTGGAGCCCAGAGCTAGAACAGAGGTGTATGAATTCTCTGGGGCTGACATAACAAATTACCACAAACTAGAGGGCTTAAAATGACATCAATTGATTCTCTCCCAGTTCAGGAGGTGAGAAGTCTGAAATCCAGATGTCTACAAGGGTGGTTCGCTCTGGAAGCTCAGAAAACTGGCTCCGCGCCTGTCTCCCAGCTTCCTGTGGTTGCCAGCGAGCCTTGGTACTGTCGGCTTGTCAATGCCTCCATCGTCACATCATCACCTTCTCTTCTGTGTGTCTCTGTCCTCTCCTCTTCTAAGAACACGAGTCATTGGATTTAGGACCCGCCCTAAATCCTATCTGACATCATCAAAATCCTTAATTACATTTGCAAAGACCCTGTTATCAAATAAGGTCCTGTTCTGAGGTTCTGGGCAAACACGGACTTGGGGAGGATGCTACAGAACCCACCACAGGCGGTCAGACGGTTTAACGACCCCCAGGGAGAGCAGAAGGGGTGACAGGAGAGCACGCCCGAGACCGCGGGGCAGGCTTTGCTGGGGACCTTGCATGGAATCAGAACCCAGACGGCGAGTAGGAACTAATTAAATAAGTGGGAGGTACACCAGGAAGAACTAATCACATGGGTGAGGCCCCAAAAAGAGGAAGGCAACCACTGATGGCAGCGGCCAGCCAGAGGGGCCACGGTGCAGAGACCCCTGGCGCAGGGGCGCGTCTCGTCTCGTAAGCTGCTGTTTGTGGAGTTTTGATTTTATTCTCAGGGACACAAAATGACTCTGAAGGGCTGGAAGCAGGGAAGTGGTTCTACCAAGTTCACCCTGGCTAAGAGGAGGATGGACTAGAAAGGTGAGAGACCCCATGCAGGCACCCACGTGTCCGTTTCTCAGGGAAAAGCTCTAGGGTACAAGGTGCCCCGGCCTCGTCCTGCCTAGCAAGCTGGAGTGACCCCACTGAGCAAGGGGGAGTCAACCCAGGGCACAGGGGATGTGAGCCAGCCGGACAGGTCATGGTCAGCCTGAGAAGGAAACCTTAAGGGTTGAGAGCTGACACCTGGACTCTATCTATACTCTATCTATGCAGGGATGGGGGGGTAGCATTTGAAAAAAAAGTTATGAGCTCTTGGATCCATTCAGAGGCACACCCCTCACCTTTGCAGACCCTGTGGCGTAAGTGTGCCTGTTAAGTACCGTCACCTCAGTCATCTTGCCTTCTGTGCCTCCCCGATTCAGGTCACCTTCTCCCTTGAATGCCCAGGCTGGGTTCCAAACCCTCCCACGAACCCCAAAAATTCCAGGTGCAGACTCCCATACTAGATCCTAATCCTTACTTTCCATTGAACATGCCTCCATTACCAGACAGTAAGAACTTCGAGGGCAAGGATTTTTTTTATCTCGTCTCTAACACACAGACTCTGAATGTTACCAGATGGAAGAATGATGGATGGATGGATGGATGGATGGATGGATGGATGGACGGACACACAGATTCCTCATGGATTTCGCCACAAAGCTGTATTGGTTTCATACCAGATTAATCAATCGTGTAATTAAATCAACACGGACCCAAATATTGCCCTTTAAATGCTTTATGCCTTGTCCTCCCCCCAAAAGAGGCAGAGCAACACACCCAAAAAGAAGGTGACTTAGTATCCTCAAGACTCACCTCATTCCTTCGGCAGCCATCTTATCGAGGTTGGCAGTGTCCTTTGTTTCTGCCCAGTTTGCTCCCAGGTCACCCCACCCCATGTCATCTGCCAAAATGATCACGAAATTTGGTTTCTGGCCTCTTGTTTCCCCACTGAAGCAAAAATTCACAAGAGGATAAAGACTTCCCAAGAAAGTCACCCCTACCAAGAAAACCTTTAGAGAAAGCCAGGCCATGGTGGTATGGAACGATGGCAGGCCACCAATAGAGACTTCTCTGGGAGTCCTCTTCTGCTCACTTTCAATGCAAGGAGTTCCTGGAGATCAGTGTTTTGCAAGAAGATATTCCAACCCACTCACTGTAAAGATGAGCACGCTGCGGCCCCGAGTTCTGGTGGTGGTGGTGGTGCCTACAGGGATGGTGGGAGCAGTAGAAATGAGTCCCCCATCTAGAATCCTGGTTCAAGAGAGTCAGGACACCTGCACTCCCAAATTTGACCTTCCCCACTATATAGCTCCCTAAGGTGACTGGCTGTGTATAACAATCAGACAACAGTGTCAACGACTGCCCCGTGGCTGATTAGAAAGTGACCCCTCTGTGCTCAGAGATGTCAGAGCCGAAGCACAGGCCTTGCATCTGGTCGGGACTCCAGCTGGTGAGTGCAGGATAAAATCTCACATCTGCAGAACACCTGGGCGTTCTAGAAGCTGCAGTCAGCCCCCAATGAGTTTCTGAGTTCCAGGTGGTCGAAGGCTTCATGTTTCTGTAAAGTTTCCTGAAAGAACAAAAATTGACAAGAAAACAGAGTGAAAACTGCCAATGCAGCTGTGTTGTACTCAGTAGCTTAGGAAATAATCACTTTTCCATGCCAACACATGCTTTTCTTGTTATTTGAATATTTAACTGGTTCATCAGTTTCTGCACCTGAGAAATAGTGATGATAAAAGTATTTGCAATGAGCCTACAGTCAAAGAGGTGAGAGCAACTTCTCTCTCAAACCACTGACTATATATATGAGAATGCTGAGGCCCAGTGTTCTGGGTGAGGCAAGGACCAGCACCCCACCCTGCGCGATCCCAGAGACCACCCCCGCCACTGCCCTCTACCATGCCTCTCCGATCCACAAGAAGGTCCCATACTAACTGTGACGTTATCAAACTCACTGAAGATTCTAGAAGAAAAGATGAGAACCTGATTATTAGAACCCTTTCTAACAGTCATGCTACAAACAAATACTGCCATATGAAATTCTTGACCAAAAAATTCGAGAAAGTGAAATGTAAAGAAATAAGTTTATTGTAGAATCTAAGTGGAAATGCTATGGCAGCTCATTGTAGACTCTCTTAATCTTTGAAACAAGATTTATTTCTTATTAGAATCTTTATTTCTTAATAGAATTGTGTGCCTTTACATCTTGAAAATTAATTTTTAATTAGCCAGGTCCAAAGACAGGCTCAACTAGTGCTTCTCACGCTTTGATGTACATACAAATCATCTGGGGATTTTACCAAAATGCAGCTTCAGCAGGTAAGGCTGGGTCCTGGGTTCTGATTTTTAACAAGCTCCCCAGAAAGTCCTACACTGGTCTTTAAATCAGACTTTCATTACCAAGATGCTCAGAAAAGAAAAACATCCTGATTCTTGTCCTAGGAGAAAACCAACCTAACTGGAGATGATAACCCTAACTGATGCTTCACCTAACTAGAGGTGATTCGGCTTCCGGGGAGAAACACAAAAGCATTAATTCAGGTTCGGATTTGAAAGACAGGAATCGAAGGTTATGCTTTCAACACGGGTTGTAAATAGAAACCATAAAATAAGTAAAATGAAATAATCACCCCAGATTTACTTAAAGGCCCTAAGTCTACAGTTAGTAAGGAGGAAAAAACTTGAAATTCTGGACCAAATAAAGAGCTCAGCTGAACACCCAAACTCTGGGGAAGATTAAAGGAGAACGAAGTTGTAATATATGAAGATGCTACTAGGGCTGGGTTATGGCAGGTCTATCTCCAGTTGTGATACCTGCCTTGGGAAGGAATGCACAGCTGGCAAAGCCAACCCAGTGGCAACTGAGTGGATGGGGCTAGTTGAAGATATGTAAATTCTGGAAGACCTAGATATGCTCAGAAGGATGGGCAGATATATACTTCACCATAAAAAGGAAGTCCAAGTAAACAGTCATGGTCATCTGGAGGCCAATGAATCAATTGTCCAGAAAAGCAATTTTTTTTTTTTTGTTTTCTAAAAGGAGAGTTATTATTTCAAAGTCAATTAGATTCAACTGGTATTTGTTGATCTTGAGGCCCCAAAGACTTCTCCCTATCTAGAAGAAAGAGCACTTTTACAAGGAGGGAGCCCAGCAAACACTTGTGGACCTGCTGGTTGATTCCCAGCCTCATTCCACTGGCTTCTGACCATGAGCAACAATCACAGGAAGTTTTTCTTCTTAAAGCTACTTAGCCTGGAATATTAGAGTGGCCTCATTCTTGGTCAATAATCCATTTCAGAAAGATTCAACATGGAAAGACTTCAAAAAACCTGCTCACTTAAGAAAGAAACTAAAATTAAGGTGGGAACATACAGGGTCCGCAGAAGTAGCATCACCAAGTTTGGTTGGTAGGGTACATGAATATCTCCCATGAGATGGACAGCAATTTGAACATTTCACCTAAAATGTCATATGGTGTACTTGAATGTGATACTGCTATGTTACAGAATTACATGCTTATGATTTTGTAAAAGACTTTTATGTAATAAAGAAAAGGGTGTTATTTGTGCTGGACCTCTGTAGATTGTTTTGCCTAAGAGTTCCATGCTAAAACATTCCTTAGAGGATTTTCAAGAAGAATAATTAAATAGTGAATATTTTCATAGTATAGAAATAAGCTAATTTATCCAGTGCTCCACTGCATTATCCTTCATGCCCATACTTCAAGGGAGACACTTACTCCTTTCCCCCTTTATTTTTTTTTTAAATTACAGCAAAAAGGCAAACCAAACATTCTAAGAATGGACTCCAAGGCACAGACTTTAAGATCCAGCTGAAAAAAAAAAAAAAGATTCAAGCTGACATTATGGGAAACAGCATGGAGGTTCCTCAGAATATTAAAAATAGAATGACCGTATGATTCAGAAGTCCCACTTTTGAGTATTTAACCAAAGGAAATAATTATTTTGAAGAGATACCTGCACCCTGTGTGCACTGCAGCATTTTCCACAATAGCCAAGATATGAAAACAAGCTCAGTGTTCGGCAATGGATGAATGAATAAAGAAAATGTGCTGTATATATAGTATATATAAACAGAGGAACATTATTCAGCTTTTAAAAAGAAAGAAATCCTGTCATTTACAACAACCTGGACGAACTCAGAAAACATTATGCGAAGTGAAATAAGCCAGGCACAGAAAGACAAATATTGCATGATCGCACTTATGTGTGGAATCTTAAAAAGTTGAACTCATAGAAGCAGAGAGTAGACGGTGTTTGCCAGGAGCCGGGAATTGGGGAAGGACACGGGGAGTGATGGTCAAAGGCACAAACATTCAGTTACGCAGGATGAATAACCTCTGGAGAACTAATGCGCAGCATGACGACTCTGGTTAATAACATTGTACTGCAAAAAAATGAAATTTGCTAAGGGGTCAATCTTAAATGTTTCCTGCTGGGCCACAAAAAAATATATAAATGGTAATACATGAGGGGATTAATTAGCTTCATTGTGGTAATTATTTCATAATCAACATGTCATATTATACACCATAAATACACACAAATTTTGTCAATTGTACCTCAGTAAAGATGGGGAGGGGGTTATTTTTAAAAGACCCAAGCTGGGACTTGGAGCTCAGTGCTTTATCTGGCGTTACTTTCCCAATTTTTTCTTTACCCACCACCTTCCCCCTCTCAGAAAAGGAAGTAGACACAAACAAGGTACACTCCTGTAGGCTAAGGAAAAACGGGGAAGTCTTTGGCAGATAAAGCATTCCCCCCTCCTTCAGTGAGCTGGAAGGTGCTTGACCACCTGACTCAACAAACTCCACAAGGAAGGCCCAACTGTTCACGGGAGCAGAGCTGACTGGGACAGATCATTGCTGTGCACAAGTATGAATCCCTGCTCTTGCCTCATTGCTCCTTGGGCAGCAGGAGAGTGAACTTTAGCTGCCAATCAGCTTTGCAGTGATTCCTGTCCTATGACCCCCACCTTAAAGCAGAACTCCTGGGTCTGCTAAAGCTTGGCCCCTCTTCAGGTTCCAGGCTTGTTAATACATAAAGGTGCTCATAGAAGTGGCATGACCAACATGCGGGATGTTTTCCAGAAGGGCTGAGAAGCGAACAGGATGAGGCAACCTGAAGATGTGCTCTGCAGTGTCGGAATACCAGAGCTGGAAGTCCCTCACCTGACCCTGACTCCCTGGGGGCCTCCCCCTGGCCAAGCCGCCTGCTGCAGAGCCTTGAAAACAGCTGAAATAACCAGAAGGTCCAGCCGACCTTGCTGGCAGAGGGCTCTGTTTGTTTCCCAGTGACAAGCTTCTGATGAGCTGGGGCCAAAAAAGACAAAGGCACTCGGGGAGTGTGGTCTCTGGGTGCAGAGCACTGTTGTTTTACCCATGGATCAGAACCTGCTCATTGTACCCGCTGGGCCAGGAGTCACATGGGGGCTGCCAGGAGGGGCCTGGGGCACCAGCTGCCCAAGTGTAGCCCGAAATGGCTCCCCCATGCATTGTCATCTACCCAGCAAATGTCGCCTGAGAGGTCTTGATCTCGGTGCTGTGCATTCAGCCTTGACTGAAACATGAACCCTGCCGCCCTCATGGCACTTCCTTGCTGGGGGTAGATAAAACAAATGGCACAGCGAGAAAATCAAAGCAAGAAGAGGATCAAGATTGTGGGGTGAGCAGGTCTAAAGTCAAAGAGGGGGGTCACTGAGAAGGTGATCTTTCTAGAAGGATCTGGAGAAGGGAGGAAGCTGTGAGGCAGCAAGCACAAAGGACTGGCCTCTGTAAGGGGCAGCGATGAAGCCACTGTAGAAACAGTGGCAATGAGAAATGGCAAGTGTCAGAGGAAGTCAGGAGGAAGACAGGTTTACTGAGCAGATGACGAGGCTGGAGGGTTTGAGGCAGAGCAGTAAGTTCTGACTACATCCTAACAACAGACTACTGACGGCTCTGCTGAGGAGAACTGTTGTAACAGGACAGGTGAGAGAAGAAGCTGAGAAGTGAGGAGTACACTGCCTCAGCAAGGTGAGAGGCAGTGCTAGAACCAAGCTAAGTGCCCAGGGCACAAGATTTAAGGGTGCAGCACTCCCTGCCTTTGCTTGACCCTTACAATGAGCTCCTGCTTAAATTTGGCTTCACCCTAATCCGAGCCTAAATGGAGTAGACAGTCTACTTACCATGGAAGCCAGGACAAACAGTTATTGAGGTGACTAATGCCTATGTGTAACCAACATCCTCATGGCCCTTAACTTTGCCCCTAGACCCTAACATGTCAGTTGGGGGCTGGCCCAACTAGGAAAGATAACTTTCTAAGAGAGTATCTGGGGGACCTCAGTCTTAGCTCAACAGAAAATGTAAAGAAAATATTTTTTCCCATTCTTTTTCTTTCAGTTTTACTGATATACAAGGTCTGTCCAGAAGGTATCCAGCCATGTAATAGGAAAAAAGAGAGACATTTATTAAAGAAGATACGAGAAATATTGTACATAGGACAGTGATACTTCAGTCCCCTTCAAAGTAGGCACCTTGGGACCTCACACAGTTCTCTCAATGGCCA